TGCTTGTCTAAAAATGCCACTATATGTAAAAAATTAGCTACATTTGCTTTAAAAATGCCACTTAAACCATCACTACAAACTTGTTTTGTTGTAGTGGTCGTTTGTCTTTACACTGCTATAAGGCTTAAGCTTCTAAACCTAAACATCTCTATTCCCCTCGTTCTTCAAGCTTTAATAACTAGGGTTACGAGTTGAATCGGGATGAAATCAGGGTTCATAAAATGGGAAGTATTACTAAAGATGGTGAAAAAGTTAATATGAGAAGAGATGGGGAAATAAGTGAGCCAAAAAGTGAGAAGTTTATTTAATGGAGGAAGAAGAAGAGGATGAGAAAGAATAAGAAGAAGAAACACATGAATTTTTTTGATTTTTTTAGTTTTTTAATTGCCAGCTCTGACTTTCGTTAATGAGTTAACAAAAATTAACGGTCGAGTGACTTAAATCGAACTAATCGATAACATAAGAGATCAAACGCACTTAATTAAAAAACTAATGATCAAAGTTGGTCAGACTGAAAACAAAAGGACTATTGCAATAGTTTTCCCCTTATTTATTTACAAGAATTTTAGAAGTGATGTTAATAATCTAATTATTCTACTATCAAATGTTACTTAAATAAATATTTTTCATAATTATTCTTAATCTTATTCATCTAAGACATTTTTTGTAACACCCCCAACTCGTACTCGACTCAGATACAAATTCGATATGTCATATTAACTATTTAAAACCTTTAAAACATATAAAAATCACAAAAATTCCAACTTTCATTAAAATAGAGATAATAATTTATATAAGCATTCGACACATCACAAAAACGATCAGAGCATACATATTTACTTACTTTGTGTACATACCAACATGTCCATTACACAAAAGTACATACTTTATAAATATTTTTGATCTGATCTTCGAGTAAAACTATGTTGCTCTGCCACTCCTAATCTTGATCTTCTTGCTCCTCTAAACCTACGTGTAAAAACGTTTACACGCTAAGTCATATACTTAGTGAGGCATAAAATATAATAATGCATTTCCTATGAATATGAACATGCAAATAATTGCTCAATTATAATCATAGCATAAATTAATCATGTCGCACATATGATACAGTATAAACATTAATAATATGGTAACATATACTCATGTAAATACATTTGATATCTCTTATAGGCCCAGGTACATTACTGAGAATTTAAGGTATGCGAGTACATTGAGGTTGTGCACTCATGCTGTCACCATAGCTCGTATGGGGTCCCACTAGGGGCATGTGAAATTTGTCCCGAAGGACCTATGTATATGTCACGAAGGACCTATGTAACCCTCGACTCATGGCATGCCAACTATACCCCTAGCTCTCATATCACATAACATGGGCATTATTGTCATTCTTCATATGTTCATGTATTCATATCATTGCTCTTGTATTCCCATATGTTTTTTTTCTTTTATCGCATATCACATGTATATATAATTATCAATCTCGTATCATATAACATGTGTATTTACATCTATTCATATGAATCATATATCATTTATCAAATCCTATAAACATATATATAACTTATGCATGTATTTATAATAATCATCATGTATGCATGTTCATAATTACTATGCTATAAATACTAACATATGAATAGACTTATCACAAGTCATAATTCCTTTGGAATATATCTATAGTATGCACTCACCTTGACCTCACTTGCTATCAATTACTCCAATGCCTTCATTTCTTTCGATTAAATTCTAATTCAGTGGTGGTTCCGGAACTGGCTTACGTTCGATGTCTACATAATCATGTATACATATCAGCATTCCAAATACTATGATTCGATCCTTTATTTCTTAAGCTATAAGAAAGAGTAATTCCCAACTTTCTCTTGCAAGGGTATCGGTACCTCTATAGGGTATCGATACATCCCTTCACTAAGGTATCGGTACACTGCCTAAGTATCGATACCCAAATTACATTAATAATTTTTCGTTTCAAGGGGGTATCGATACCATCCCTAAGGTATCAGTACCCTTTGAATGTCTTCCTAAATTTTTACTCTTGAGGTATCGGTACCTGATGAATGGGTACCGATACCCCCTTGCCCATAATTCACTTTGATGCCCGAAAATCACTCCAAATCTACTTAAACACTTCATGTTTCATCCCCTAATGTTCTTAACTCACATACATATGCTTAAACTCATTAATACCCATTTATCACATCTTAAACATCAAAATTCTATCCACCTCATGGAATTCAAGAATTAAACTCAATTTTCAACATGTTTTAAATTCAATTCTATCACTTCATATGTCTTAATTAGGTTGATGACAGGTCAAATTTAGTCTTAAAATCTAATTAATGCATTCCTATCAAAATTTCATTTATTCTCATCTTTTATTTAATCCCACTTAACTCTCTTATCTTTGAATTTTAAGGTAACTTAAGCTTTCCTTAAGCTTAAGTATAATCAAAGGAACAAAACCCTACTTAAATTTCAACTAAAAATCAACTAATAAGAAATTTTACCTTTGCTTGTAAAATTCACAGCAGAAGAAGAAGAGAGTTCTCTGGATCTTTCTGCTCCCTTTCTTTCATTTCAATGTGTATATATATATCCTCCTTATACATTTTTAATTTATTTCTTGGTCAAATGACCATTTTGCCCTTCTATTTCTCATTCTTTGATATTTAATCCTATACAAAATTCTCAATATAAGTCCCTGCACTTTTCAATTAATCTACTTTGACCAACAAATTTTGAAATATTTCAATTTAGTCACAAACCCGATATTGAGGATGTTACATTTGCTCTTATTATAAAATGCTATTTTTAACTTTTGAAATGATTATGAAAAAAAACAAGAGGTAGATATAATAAAGAGAAAATTATGTATTATATTTTAATATATAAAGTATATCTAATGTTTTCTAAAAACTCTATATATTTTTATTAAGTTATGGTAACTATAAAGTAGTGTTTTTTTATAAACACTCTCAATCATTTAACAATAAACTTTTAATTACCCATACTATAATTGTTGGTGTTTAAACCCGAGATCTCTAGGAATAACAAGCATTCTTTTAACTAGTGATGCAATTTGGTTTGTGTAACTCTCTCTCTATATAGTCATGAAGAGTAGATATTTTATAGAACTATAATTTAATAGACATAAAACTCATAACAATAAAGTACATCAAAGTCTTATTTAATAGATCTCGTTGTGGGTTCTTTCGAGATATGTTTTCTACAAAGCTCAACAACCCACCCTTTTCTACAAAGAAGTGTAATTTTTATCGCTTCAATGATGCGGAACTACGCCCCCTTATGTGAGACATTTCCTTGGATGAAGTGAGGAGCACTTTATTTAGTATGGCACCTTTGAAATCCTATGGTGTCGATGGTATTCATGTGGTTTTCTAACAAAAAAAAACTGGAGTGTCATGGGGCAATATGTTTTTGGCTTTGTTAAGAGGTTCTTTGATGAAGGGGTGATAGATGAGTGGGTGAATGAGACTCTGTTGGACATTTCCTTAGATGAAGTGAGAAACACTTTATTTAGTATGGTATGACATATTATACTTGAGAAAGATATCCTCCAGGATATTCCAGGTTACGTCATGCAATATTCTTGGTTACCGAAAGGTTTGTGTGAGGCAATGGAGAGAATTATTCGAAGATTTGTATGGGGCTCAAGTAATAAGCAATATGTATATCTCTCGTAAGATGGGATAACATGCATCGACCTATCAATAGTGGTGGAATGGGATTGAAGAATTTGTACCATCAAAATAAGGCACTTATGATGAAGATCGCCTTCTAATTAGTTACAAAGTCAGAGAAATTGTGTGTAAAGATAGTGTGCACAAAGTATAAATGGAAGGATCCATTACCGTTCTCGCTTTTGAAAGTCAAAAGATCTCATCTTTGGAGAGGGCTTTAATGCATTTGAAGTGATTTTCACGAGTACATCTTGTGGAATATTTGTGATGGTAAAGACACGAACTTTTGGTTTGATCATTGGATAGGGAAGGAGGAAATACCGATCTTTTCCTACATTGGATCAAGTTATCCGCATCCTATCCCAGTATGCAAAATGCTGACTTTTTTAGGTGTTTGGGACTGGAATAGGATTGCACATTTTCTTCCTAAACGGGTTATCGAGAAAATTGCTAGTGTTCCGTCACCTCAGGAACAATTGGGAAGAGATGCTCCAGGGTGGAGTTAGGAAGGGGGCAAGAGGTTTATGGTTGCGTTGGCTTATAACGCATGTTTGGTAAGAACAGAAGAGGAGTTACAGTTTAAATTGGAGCTGATTTGGAAGTTGGCCATTCCTTGTCGTGTTAGAATTTTTCTTTAGCTTATGGTTCATGATCGACTCCTTACTAATGTCGAATGGGTAATGTGACGTTTTCCGTTAGTGGATTATTGTATGGTGTGTGGTAAAGCAACGAGAAGTATGGGTCATTTGCTTTGGTGTTGTAATTTAGCAGTGTGTTTTTGGCCAATGGTAGTGAGTGCAAGACATATTAGAAATTTCTTGTCATTACCTCAATGGATTGGCTAGATGTTAATCTCTGACCAACATGTAGGTTTGGCTTAGATGATGATAATTGGTCGATCGATTTTTCTATTTATTGTTGGTTGTTATGGAAGAACTGATTCGGTGCAATCTTTGATCCTGGTATGTTGAAAGGGAGATCTTATTGAGCCATTGTAACATATTTACAGATAGGTAATTCAAATGAATAGAATGATTGCAAGTTCAAGGATGCGAGGCGTGAACGTTCAAGTTTTGTGGACCCGTCCACCCATTGGATAGATTAAAACTAACTCAGATGTGGTTGTTCATCCCGGTAATAAAAGGGCTGTTGCTTCAAAATCACGAGGGTGATTGGATTTTCTATTTTTCAAAGAATCTAGGAAGGTGCTCGGTCTTAATAGTTGAGCTTTAGGCAACACATGATATCCTGGCCCATGCTTGGCAGTTAAGTTTCAAAAAGATGGAGCTCGAGACGGATAATAGCGAGGTTGTTCAGATATTCAACAACAATTCTGAAGCCTTGGTGGGCTATACTTTGGCTTCTACGTTCCAAGAGCTCTGTACTAGAGATTCGGTTTTTAGAGTTGGACATATTTGCCGAGATCAAAATTGCATTGCTGATAGATTAATAGTTATGGGACGAGGTGCCCCTATTGGTTCCACGTTTTTCGCAGACCCTCCCGATGAGACTATCACACTTCTGCATAAGGAGTGCTTGCTTGGTGGTTAATTTTGCACATTTTGTTGCTGCCCTAATAAAAAAGTCTTATTTAATACATAAAATTTTAATCATAATGGACATCTATAAATGACAAATATCGATGTCAAATATTGATAACACTTCTCCTTGAATGTCCATTGAAAATAATGTGTCTCGTTAAATACTAAGAAAAAATCTATTGAAGAAAAAGGAGTATGCATATATTTAATACGCACATGTTGTCTCAAAAAAAACCCTTACTACGAAAATTCAGTGAGACAAAACCTTGATGAAGGAAAAGACTCTCCTTATGACAACATAATATAAGATCTTTTAATCTCCACAATTCAATCATGAATTCAATCTTATAATGTTGAACTAGACAACACATTGATAATAGATCTTTCAAATTATCACTTGAACTGATTCGTTGCATATTTATATTATTATTCTTATAAGTATCACAATGAAAGAAAATTTAAGAAAATAGATTTAGTTCTATCTCATTTGAGTGATTATTTCAATTGAGTTATACATTTTATATTATTTTCATACAAGATGGGTGGTATCAAATTATGTGGAAATAAATCGCATATATTATGGATATGTTGGGTCAATAGTCTTAGCTAAACACATTTTAAGCTTGCTTCATAGATAATAATTATTTCTACATGATTTGTAGAGACATCGACTAGTGTTTAAAGATTTAAAGATAATGATCTTATAACACTTAGATAGTAACTATGAAGCAACTAATGTAATGAGTCAAATTTTTGAGTTAACGCGTAAGGATTAACCTGAGAGGTCTTTAGATTGACACGAGAGTATGATTAGATCCGTTAGAAACATTTAGGCCTAATCGAAAGAAAATTAGGCTTAATCAACCATAAAAAGGAATAAATTTGAATTAAGGTCAAATAGAGGTGAACTGAAATGGTAAATATACCATTGACGAAATCATGATTGATTTCCCCTTTAATTGCAGGTGATATGTGGAAATTAGGGGGTAGAATTTTTATCCAATCCTTTCTTATTTATATTACCCTCTCATCTTTTCTCATTCTTCAAACCTTATTCTAAGATTGGGAATAAAAATAAGATCGTTTACAGGATATTTCTTACTCTTATTCGTTGTACGAATAATTGGAAACTTACTTTGCATACTACAATCGTCTTATCTACTATTAAGTATATGAATATTATTGAAGCTCATAAAGAAATTATTTGATTAATATTTTTTGATATATTAAATGATTTTCATATCAATATAATATTTTATGTTAGTCATAGCGACATCTTTTTTACAAAAATCGGATGTTTCATAAGAGGACGAAATACATTTATGTTCGATATCATAGTGTATAAAGTTATTGGTCCTTGTGATATTATTGTGATAAAATTTTGCATTCATAATTATGTTGCATGTATGATGACCATATCACTTTTTATAACTAGGTTTGAGGAATTTGGTTGATGTTTGTCGTTGATTAATACTCGTAAAGAATTTTGTGGAAGAGGTAGAGAACATGTTCTCATAAACGTTGAGATTTTATTGTATTGCCTTGTATTTATAGAATTTATGTCAAAGTAGAGATTGTTAGAGTTTTTGATTTTAATTTCGTTTTAATAATCTAAATTTTTTTTGATGCGATTCACTTAATAAAGAAACAAAATTGAACAAAATGAGAATTATATTATGGATGTTGATTAATTTTTTTTTTTTAAAATAGAGAATGCGGTAAGGAAATAAAATAGGAAGAAATATAAGGAATGTACTTCATGTTGGATTTCCTTTAAGAAAATTCTATAACACGCTCGACGAATATCGCTGAGTATCACTAACAATGAGTATCGTTGTATACTATTAATTTAATTTATAAAAATTTAAAATTCTAAAAGACTCAACGTAATTATAAATTAGTTAAAAATCTAAAGGTAAATTATTTAACGTAAAATATTAATTACATTATTTAGGGGTTGATATTTGATTTAATTATTATTAAAAAGATTATTAAAAATAATGTAATTAAAATTTTATTTTAAATAATTTACCTTTAGATTTTTAACTAATTTATAATTATAAGTTGAGTCTTTTAGAATTTAAGTTTTTATAAATTAAATTAATGGTGCTAAGCAATGCTCGTCGAGCGTGATAGACTCATCATATTGGTTCCATTTAATGTTTAGTTTAAAAATTATAACATGCTACAAGCTTATAACTTTTACTGGATTAATCGGTAGTTATGCTCCACGGAATGATTATGATTCCATTGCCATTGACGCATTTGTTGTTGTGCCATGTTTTGTCGAAAATTCTATTCCACCATTTGATTTGTAGATTCAAGTTGGGTAAATAAATTTGGGAAAGACCCTTAGTTTTAGGGACGAAGGCATGATTTTATGTTAGGGAGTGAGTTTGAATTTTTTTTCTTTTAGGGATTAACCTTGAATTTATAAAATTCTAAGGGGCGAAAATAAATTTTTAATAAAATATATAAAAAGCTAAAATATATAATAATTTTCAAATTTTAGGATACCACTCGTTCCGTCCCCTTTGTCCATCCCTACTTAGCTTGCAAATGTGTTTTTATCAATATGCAATTTATTAATCTGATGAAACAAATTGGAACATATTGTTATATCATTTTTATTGTACTAGATTTTCATGTAGCGTTAATGAAGAAGATTCCAATGTATTAATGAATGGTAATAGAAATGATGGGTGTTCCATAAGAGTGTTCAGTAATGGTGAATCTAAGTGGCTTTATCCGCTAGCTTCTCACTGTGATGCCTTAATTTTATCTTTTTATTTCTATCTCATTGCCCATAATTAAATTCTAGTGTAGCTTTGAAACATACCCAATTAATTTAATCTTTATTTTCATCTCTAATATGAAACATACAAGGTGATCGTAAGTCTCTAAGAATGACAACTTCATCACAGGGGCGGTTGACAGGAAAAAAGACGATGAAGACTAAGTAAATGGACTGAGATGATTCTGAGGGATGAGTGTTGGGGAAGACCGTGATCTGAAAGAGATAGTTTAAGATTTTATGTTGGACCAAATTGATAATAATCTTAAATATTAAGAATTTATTGAATTGGGATTGATTTATAGAATGTGTAAATTTTGGGATTGAAAGTGTTATTATACCAATCACATCACCATTTTCGTTAAGTCACTTATCAGCGAGTGATCGTAAGAATAATGAAACGTAACATTAATTATGATTTGAAAAAAATAGTTGAGCCACCAAAAAAAATACATGAATAGATAAGTGACCAAATAAGTAAGTTACCCATATCACTCTTCTTTTCTTATCCCCTGTGTTATGATATGAATATACTACACCAATTCGTAAGTATAAAAAATAAAATTCTATTGAATATAAAATTAATTCCAATAAATTTATTGGAGGTCTCATTAGTGTGCATCCAATCGAAATTGAACCTATAAATTCATCAATTATGAATTGGATAGTTTAATCGTTTGATTACTAAATAGGGTATTTGTCCATATTGAATAATTGAATTCTAATTGAAATTAAATCTTTAAAATAAATCAATGCAATTTAAGAAGAATGAATTAAACGACATCGATTCAAATATTGGATTTTTTAATCGAGAGATATTGGTAAAAAGTTTAATTTAAAATAATTGTTTAAATTATATTTCTTGTTTATTGTTTATTTTAGATGTCTTATTTTTATTTTATTAAATTAGGTGATTAACATTTTTAAAGTTATCATTTAAAGCGTGTAAAATTTCATTCTATAATCATTTTAAGGTCATATCATCATTGATTGTTCAAAAAATAAATCTATCAAACAATGATTGTCTGACAAATGACATTAATATTTTATTAATATTATTTTTTTTAAAAATAAAAATATTAAATTTCTAAATTTCTAAACAAACTCTAAATTCTATTATAGTAAAAGATCAAACGAAAAATGAGGATCAGAGGTTCGAACAACTTAGTTTTGGTTCGGAAGATGATATAGCTTCACTATCTATGACAAACATACTATAGTTCGATGTAAAAATAATTTTGTACTACAAGATTTAAGGACTACGTGTGACAGCAAGGGATTAATCAACCAGTGAGAGTCCAATAACCAAAAGAGTGACCAATAACAGTTGATTCAATGAACATATATGATTTAAAGATTTGAAGCTAAAGATTTAGGGAGTTTGAAAATTTTGGGTAATTTAAGATTTTAATAGGGTTTTTAAAAATAAAATTAAAGGTTTTAAGATTTTAAAAAATAAAATTAAAAGAACGTGCTACGAGTTAAATACTGATTGAATAATAACGTTTTTAACTGTCATTAACAATTAAACCCCTTAAATGATAACTTTAAAAATGTTAAATATATACATCAATAAAAAAGTTAAATATTTGAATAATATTTTTGACACTTTTAAATTAAACCTTTATAAAATATTTGAAAAATTACTCTTTAATTGATTGGAATATAATTGATTATAGTTATATATAAACAATTAAATGGATTTTATAAAGAAATTCAGAATTGGATAAATTATGTGATACAAATTTTATAATAATTTATATTATTTAACAATAAGTAGGTTCAGTGAGATGAGCCAATAGATTTTTTAAGTAAGGATAGAAATTTGAATCATGACATTTGCGATGGAGCAAAACAGGCTAGGAGGATCACTCCATATTGGGACTCAACAATGCCCGATCTAGATTATTCGATTAATAAATCAGATACTGATGATTATAACAAAATAATAATTATGATTTATCTGATTAAATAATTTTTCGTTAATTGCATTATATGTCCTCAAACTTTTGAATTTTTCAATTTTATCTTAAATTCATTCAAATATGCAATCAATTTCAACCATAATTTAACCTAAATTTTGTTTTTTTAAAACATAAATATAACTTGGCCTAATGATTTTATTAAAATGGGATATGATTAGTATATACGTATAATTTGGTATGAAATTAAAATTTTCAAAAAGTGTAGGGACTAATATAAAATGATGGCCATAAATTGGGGATGAAACTGAAATGTTTAAAAATTTAGGACTAATTTAGAATGAGGGTCATAATTATAGGACGTGAAATAAAATTAACTCATTTTTAACAATAAATAAGAATCCTTTTTTCAAAAGAAGAATTCGTGTAATTTCTCACTCACTCCATGACGTCCAAACACACCGTTTTCCCTCTCCTCCCTTAAAAAACGAAGTCGCCAATTAAGCATTTTGCTCTTATGGGCTTGTTTGCCGCGCTCCAAGCCTAACCCAAACCGGAACGATTTTTTTAAACGAATTCAATATCATTGAGGTTTGAAATATGGCTGTTTTCAGTACTCGAGCATGCTTTATTCTTTGATTTCCTAGAATTCTATATTAACTGCTTGCGATTTCTGTAGATTTTCATTGATTTGGCTTTACATTGGTAGCGTATTCTGTTACATTTTCCATTATCGAAGTTATATTTCAACTTTGACTTGTGTAAGTGGGTATTTGATTTTCTTTTTCTATATTTTATTACTTGGATTGGAGGCACACATTCAAATTTAGCATACTATGAAGAATGCCAGTTCAACATTGTTTTGGAGACTCACATTAAAGTTTCCGGTACGCATTTGGATTCAAGTTTCATTATATTAAAGAATAGTGAACATATTGGGTTTCTTTCTTTCTTTGGATTTCCAATTATGAATGCTTTTCATTATCTTAAGTTTGGAAATTAATGGCTTTTGATGCAGGAAGCTTCACTTTTATAGGAATCTCAACAGAGGAGATTATGAAGAATGTAAATTGTACAAAGCCTAAAGTGAAGCGAGCTTCAATAAATAACATTCTTGATAGAGCCAGACTGAAGTATATTTCTGTCTCAATGGGGGGTAAACTTTCTTTTCTTTTCCCCCAACTAAATCAATGTTAATTATGTTATAGTTAAGTGTTGACTTGTTTTTGGAAGTTATTATCATTATTTGGTCATGCCTATTAGATAGTATTGGATGGAATTGTTCATTCTGGTGGATATTTGTGGATGCTCATTTCATAATTTATCCCAAGTAGGTCACTCAACTGTTCTAATTACTATTGTTGTTTGTCTTGTCAGTGCTTAGTTTTCAGGTGCATTACTATTCTCTGAATGGATGTGTGGTGTGCGAGTAGGTGCTGAGTGTCTATGAGTATGAGCATATGCTGGTGCCAAAACCAGGCATCCAAAAAATCACATATCTTGGAGAATAGAAGGCTAAATATTATCTTGTTCAAGAACTAAAGACTGCTCCACTTAGCATTTTGGAATTCTGGATGAGTTATTGAAAACGTTGTGGGTACATCAATAAATTAGGAGTCCTTTCAGGATTGGGATGGTAATAATTTATGTTTGATTGGTTTATCTTGGTTAGGTATAATTCTATCTCACCCGGTTGTTTATTTATTTATTATTATTATTTGAGTTTGTTCTAGTTTCATTTCATATAATTTCCAAAAGTAAAGAAACAAATAGATATAATTCAATTAGAATTTTATTGGCAATTCTATTTAGGGTCTCAAACTTTCAAGTCTAGTTAAGGAAATAGATCAAACACGACTGTAATGAGAAATGTCTAGGATTAGGTTGCTTTCTACATGTACATAGTAGCTTGTGTGATACATCCAATGCTTGTAAATTTTAACATGGAAATTTACTGCTGTATAATAATGGAAATTAACTCCAATAGGAAAAAGTTAATGGATATAGATTCTATCGGACGGTAGCAATTGCATTCGAGGTAACTTCCGTCAGATCTGGTTGGCATGTGTAAAGTTTAAGTATATAAGGTAAGTGGACCACTCAAGAAACGCATGCAGGAGTAGAAGAAACAGCGCAGATTCTTCTGCCCTATCTTTTGTAGTTATGCTTTAAGAATCCTTGATAACTTTTTCCCTTTTTTTCTGCATTCTCATTGTGTTGGAAGTCGAGGTAAATTTGAAGTGATTGAGATTAAATCTACTATGCCTATCAGTATAGATATTGTCAACCTTCTTTAAGAGATTTGATTTCATATCTGTCAGTACAAAGCTTCATTTTATTTCTGCTATTGTTCAAGTTTTGACATGCGATTATGTTCTGCAACTAGTCTTCAGCGTAGTTACGAAAAGGTAGAAGCAGAGAAGAAATATAGCATCAAACCACCTAGTTTGCCTAATTTTGTAAGGTAAACTGATATACATTTTTGGCGACTTCTTTTTCTATGAGATTTCAGTGTTTCACTTTTTTAAAAAAAAAAATAAATCTCATGTATCCCTTTCTTATGGTCAGGTTTCACTGAATTCATTTTCTTGGTGTTTAACCTGGATAAGGATTCTACCCTATTGTTTTTTAATGGGTTCAAAGGGAATTGAATCTAGCATTTGAGTGTCATGTTTGCCATTTCAATTTAGTTCTCATAAGCATTGTTGGATGGATTTTTTTTATAAATTTACAAGATTGCATGATTATGGCTAATTCTTGAAGAGGGATTTTATCTGAGTTTCTACATTCCTCATAAGATAGCTTGTTTTGTTTATTTTCTTTTCCATAGCTCACTAACATTGTACCTTATTGTAGGCCTAACTCAGTCATGCAACGAAAGGGAACTGTTGATGGTGGCGTGAAGAAAAGGTATGCTACGGCATATATTGTGCTTTCTCTCCATATAAAATTTAGATCGACCTGAATTAAGCTGGAATTTCTTTAAATTGTTTGCAGGGTAACACTTGCATCGGTCACTTTTTATGCCAATGGACTTCCAGATGGGGCTGAATTGGCGTACTTTATCAAAGGACAGGTGCAATGGTTTATATAAATAATATAGTTGATTAGCAATAGTTTTATGCCTTGTACTGACCGAAATTCTAACAGACTTTTACCCTGACGTACCTTGAAGGCTACAAACAGGGGAACGGTATAGTCTGTGAATGTTGTGAGAGAGAGGTAAGCTTCTAATTTATTACCAAGTTGATGCTAGATCAGCTCTCTGATCTAATATTTTTGTTTAATTTGTTTTCGTGTGAGCAGCTTAGCCCTTCACAGTTTGAAGCACATGCTGGATTGGCTGACAGAAGGCGACCGTGAGTGGTCTTTAGAGAATTTGATATTTCGTTAGAATGTTGGGTCATTCTTTTTTAGCTTTTTACTTTTCCATTTTTACACAGGTATCATAACATCTATACATCTAATGGACTGACGCTTCATGATATAGCCTTGTCATTGGCAAACGGACAACGCATTACAATTGGTTGCAGTAATGATATTTGTGCAATTTGTGGAAATTCTGGAGATCTGCTTCTTTGTCATGAATGTCATCTGGCTTTTCATACTGGTGCGTAAGTTTCTTTATTTTGAGTTGTTTCTTCTTAGTTTAGGTTTTTGTTGAGATAGGTACTTAATTTAAAGATGGTGTTTGAAATATTTAATATTGGGCGGCCAAAATTCAACGATACTTCATGAGATATATTCATTTACAATATACTTCATGAGATATATTCATTTACAATATACTGCATTGGGATCTGCATTTAAAGCTCTAACCCGTTTTGTGCTTTCATGCCTAATGATTATCATGACCGTCTTTCTCCAAATTGTTTTCAAACAATAAAATGGTGGATGCACGTGTTTTCTTAAATTTTTGTCATTTTATGTCTAAGTTGTGAAATACATTCAATTTATCTTGTGCCTGATTATCTTTTTGGTCTAAGGTTCTCTTTCATAATTTATTCCATCGAATTTCTTTCTTGCAGCTTGTTTGAAAATAGAGCACCTTCCAGAAGATGACTGGCTTTGTGCAAATTGTTCTGATAAAAAGGGTCTTGGTAGGAAAGATGCCTCAGGAGAAGCTTCAAGGATAGTGAGGCCAATTGTGATACGACTGACAAGAGTTGTTAAAGCACCAGAATTTGAAATTGGTGGTTGTGCTGTTTGCAGGTTGGGTACCTCTGTATTTTTTTCGTATCATTCTGGTATTTTGTCTCTAAGCATATCTATATTCTTAGAATACGAGCTTCATTGTGTGATTAATCCTCCAATGGATTCATTTGTATGAGTGTGTGTAACACACACATGTTTGTTTACTATCTTGGAGTCGAAACTAGTGGATTGTTGATAGAGAGGTGTTTTAAGAGTCAATGATCTCTCAATAGTTTCTGACAAAGCCATGAATTTTACTGTAATTCACTCTTATTAAATGTGTAGGAAGCTTACAATTATATACAAGGAAGCTTACAATTATTTATACAAGCCTAGGCCTTATCTTAGGTAACTTCTAAACTAGGTAAGAGACTAATTCTAGTAATAAAAGAATCCCTTAGATTTAGGGATACTAACTAAATAGAATATTTACAAATCCAACTCAATCTTCTTAACTTATGTAACTAATCTCTGACACTCCCCCTCAAACTGGAAGCATGGATATCTTCCATCCCCAACTTGCCTGTTAACTTCTGAAAATACTTACCAGGTAGACCCTTGGTAAGTATGTCTGCAGCTTGATCTCCGGTGGTAACATAGGGAGTAAAGATCAGGCCACTATCAAGTTTCTCTTTTATGAAATGTCTATCCACTTCAACATGTTTTGTTATGTCATGTTGAACTAGATTATGAGCAATGTTGATTGCTGACTTGTTATCACAATAGAGTTTCATTGGTCCATTCCACTTTACCTTCAAGTCTTCTAAGATAATCTTCAGCCATAATAACTCACAAATTCCTAATGCCATAGCTCGAAATTCAGCTTCTGCACTTGACCTAGCCACCACATTCTATTTTTTGCTTCTCCAAGTAACTAAGTTACCTTCAAAGAAAGTGCAATAGCCTGAAGTTGACCTTCTATCATGGATCCTGCATAATCTGCATCCATGTATGCTTCCAGAGTCAAGTTTCCCCCTCTTCTAATAGAATTCCTTTGCCTGGTGTACCCTTCAAGTATTGCAAAATTTGGACTACAACCCTTAGGTGTGATTCCTTGGGATTGTGCATGAATTAACTCAAAACCCCAACAGCATATACTATGTCTGGTCTTGTGTGACAAATAGATAAGCTTTCCCACGAGTCTTTGAAAAAAAACTTCTGTCAACTGCCATATCACCCTCCTTTGAGTCTCCAAGCTTGTGATTGACTTCTGTAGGAGTTTCTGCTGGTTTACATCCTAGTTTTTCAGTTTCCTTCAACAAGTCCAAAGTATACTTCTCCTGAGATATAAAATCCGTTGATGTGAGTGAGCCACCTCAATACCAAGGAAGTATTTTAATCTTCCAAGGTCATTCACTTCAAACTCTTTTATAAGACACTTCTTTAAATTACCAATTTCTTCATAATCATTACCTGTAACAATTATATCATCTGCATACACCAATAGTACAATTACTCCCCTTGAAGGAGAGTATTCACAAACAGAGTATGATCACCTTGACTTTGTTTGAAGCCTTGTTTTAGAATTACTTTAGTAAATCTCCCAAACCAAGCTCTTGGGGGACTGTTTTAGTCCATAAAGAGCTTTTCCCTCAATTTACACACTGCCTCCATTCAAACAAATCCGGGTGAATATCCATGTAAACTTCTTCTTCAAGGTCTCCATGCAAGAAGACATTCTTGATGTCAAACTGCTGTAAATTCCATCCCTGAATAGTTGCTAAGGACAGTAGGACCCTCACTGTGTTCATCTTTGCAACAGGGGCAAAAGTTTCAAGATAGTAAATTCCATAGGTTTGAGAGTACTTCTTTGCCACCAATCTTGCTTTCTACCTTTCTAGAGAACCATCTGATTTATACTTGACAGTAATACCCATATGCATCCCACTAATTTTTTCCCTTCTGGCAGCTTCACTAAATCCCATGTCTTATTCTTCTCCAGTGCCTCCATTTCCTCTTTCATAGCCTTTTTCCAGTTCTCATTTTCTAATGCCTCAGATACTGTTTTAGGAATAACAATGTCATTTAGGCTAGTAAGGAAGGTTCTGTGATTGAGGGATATTTTTTAGGCCAAAACGATAGGTAGGATGTTTGGTGGTGCCTGTTCTTTTTCCTTTTCTAATAGTAATGGGAAATTCAAAATCAGAAGAAGTATAGTATTTTCAGCATCACTTTGTTCAAAAGGAGTTTCAGAGTGTATCTCAAATTGTATAGAGCAGGAGCAAATGAAGGGATGATTGAATCTGCATAGGTTCTTCTTCCTCGAATAGACCCTTATGGGACAAGTAGTGTCTTGAATATTGGGTGTGGTATATTAATGTTTGGTTGAAGAGTAGAAGCTTGAGAGTAGAAGCTTGAGGAGTACGAGGTTGACTGGGGAGAGGATAAGTAATAGCAGGTTTGTTTCTGTAGAATGTATAGGTATAGGTTTATGTAGGAAGATCAACAAGGGGCTGAGTAAAAACAATTTTGCATCTTTATCTTCCCTAAAAGATATCTTACCCTAAAGATAAATAACTTTAAAATTTAACAAAAGTGACATCAACAGAAGTGTAGTATTCTCTTGCAAGAGGGTGGTAGCACTTGTAGCCCTTTTGAGTGGAGAATACCAATAAAAATGCATTTCAATGCCCTTGGATCAAGTTTCCCTCAGCCTTAAGAATGAATGTGAACAAAAGCAACACACCCATTACCCTTGGTTTTAGGTTAAGAGATGGATTGAAATCTGGAAAGAACTTTGTAAGGGTTTGAAGGGGACTTTGGGATTCAAGGACTTTAGTTGGTAGTCTATTTTCATGTAGTGACAGTTAACACAACTTCCCCTAGTACCTTTTAAGGACATTGTTTTGAAATAAAAGGGCTCTAGTTATGGCAAGATGTCCATTCTTTCTTTCTGCTACCCCATTCTGTTGGGGAGTGTTTACACAAGGACTCATGTATAATACCTCTTTCTAAGAAGTAAGGAGACATGACTTGATTAAAGTAGTTATTGACAATTTCTGTTCTGATTCATTTTGTTTTAGCCCCAAACTGCGTCTTGATCATGGTATAAAAAAGTTTTAAAAGTAGAGGTAACATCACTTCTGTTTTAGTAGATAAATCCAAGTAACCCGAGCATAATCGTCTATAAAGACGCAAACCATCTAGCCCAGTTATGATAGGAATAGTGGAAGGCCCTCAAACATCATTGTGAATAAGGGTAAAGGGACTGATGATCCGCTTATTACTTGCGGAAAGAGGAACATTTGTTTTGCAAATTCACAAACTCCACAATGAAATTCTTCAACTTTAAGGAACAAAGGAGGGAAACATAGTTTTTAAGAGTCTAAAAGGTGGGTGACCAAGGCGAAAGTGATGTAGCTAGAGTTGGCCTTTACTGGTTGTAGATTCAGATAAAAAAGAAAATGTTGAGTTTTCAAACTCTAGCTGCCACTAAGGTCTTTAGGTAGTATAAGCCATTTATTTCCCTAGCACGCCCAATCATCCTCTTCATTTCTTGCTCCTGAAAAATAGATTGTGTAGGATGAAATAAAAACATTGCAGTTATTGTCTTTGATAAGCTTTGGAATAGAGAGAAGGCTAGTAAATGTTTTGACACATATAGGACATTTTTAAGCAATAGGGTTTTACTGTTGGCAACATCTCCTTGGCCAGCAACAGTTACCATAGTACCATCAGCAACTGTGATTCTTGTTGCTAGCAGGGTATGTAGGTGAGGAATTTTAGTGATGAATTAGTTATGTGATAAGTGGCTCCTGAGTCAATTACCTAGGAGTTTTGGATAGGTATGTGGTGGATGATCCAAGGCATTAGAATTCTGAGAAGAAGGAAGAAGATATACATGAGAAAAACTAGATTGCATGTACTTGTAGAGGATGGTTTTTCTAAGGATTTCCGGTAGGTTCTTCAATTTTTTACTTCTTCTCGGTTGAATTCACAAATTGTTCATCAGACTCCTTGGTCACATGTTTAGTTGCATAAGCTTTGCTTTGTCCTCTTCCTGAGCCTCCTTCTCTGTGAAATTCTTATTTGCAATCTGAGACTTTCCATGTAACCTCCAACACTTCTCTTTGGTGTGACGAGGTTTGTTTTGCAGTAAGTACATAAGTCCTTGTTAACCGTCCTTCAGATCTGCCTTCAATATTCTGCTGCTCCAGACGATTTGGTCCCTCAAACAATCCTGGTAACTAAGGTTGAACTTCTACTCGATTGTTTTCAACCACCATCACTCCTCTTCTTCCTTCTTCAACACGAATGATAAAAATAGTTTCATTCAGTGAGGGTAGGTCTTCTTTTCCTAGATCTGGACCCTTACCTCATCAAATTCTATATTTAGTCCAGCAAGAAAATCATAAATACTATCTTTTTCTACAAACCTCTTTAGAATTGCTGCATCCTCACTGCATTCATCTGAATGCATTGATAATGGTCCATTTCCTGCCACAGATTCTGCAGCATATTATAATACTCTGTAATAGATTTTCTTCCTTTTTTAGTGGCTAAATCTTGCTCTTGATTTCATAAATCAGGGCAGCATCTCGAACCTTCGAATAGGTTTGTTTTACAGCCTCCCATATCTCCTGGGTTGTTCCAAGAAACATGCAGGTGTCACTAATTTCAGGCACCATGAATTCTACAACCAAGACATAATCAATGTGTCTTGTTAATCCAAGCCTCAAATTTGGGATCTCCTTCCTTAAGACCCGTTCTGAGGAGAGACTAAGTTACCTCTCCCTTTAGGAAAGTTCGAATCAATTGTGACAACTTAAGGTTTTTTTCCATTCAATCTATAAGCGACTTGTATGGTTTTGTAAGTCACTTATCGAATTAGAGTGACTTCCCTCACCCATTGTGCCTCCTGAGCAGTTTATGTACTGCTGGAATCACTCGTATTGCCTATATCTTGCTGATCAGGTGCCATACTCTCTTAAGAAATAATAAGAACTAAGAAACAAACACTCAACAAGAAGATTAAGACCAAAAACGAGTAGCTCTGATTCCATGACAAAAGCCATGATTTTTACTGTAATTCACTCTTATTAAACGTGTAGGAAGCTTACAATTATATCAAGCCTAGGCCTTATCTTAGGTAACTTCTAAACTAGGTAAGAGACTATTCCAGTAAAAGAATCTCTT